GTCAGGCGCTCCTGGAGAGGGGGCATCAGGTGTGGACCCCATGTCCCAGTGGGGAAAGGACAGTTTAGGCTATCTTTGTGCCGCCGCTGATGGAACAAAGAGCCTTTTGTCTGCATTTTGCATTACCAGGCGTTAGTTTTCGGTCTGCGCTTGCTGATGTTGTCGGGATTATCTGGAAGTCAGCAGGCCCTGCTGCTGTCTTCAAAGACGCTGGCTGAGCACAGGGAGGGAGGAAATCCTTGTTGTTGTCCTCTGCAAGGGATATTTGCCCTTGGGCTCAGGCCAGCAGCACTCGCTTAGCCTGATAAGGGTTTATTGCTCAAGCTGGGGAGTGCTTCAAAGCCAAAAAAGTTCCTGAAAAACCCTAAAAGTTGCTCAAAACCCTAAAAGTTCCTCAAAGCTGTAAAAGTTCCTAAAAGCCCTAAAAGATCCTAAAAACCGTAAAGTATCCTAAAAGCCCTAAAAGTTCCCCAAAGCCCTAAAAGATCCCAAATGCCCGAAAAGATCCTAAAAGGATCTGAAGGCCCTGGTGCTGGTGGCAGGCGAGCGGGAGCTGCTGGGGGAGCGCAGGGTGGCCGTGGGCCGGGCAGGCTCCGACAGGTGAGAGCTCGTCCTGCCAGGCTGCTGCTGGCCAAGGGGAGGCAAGTACAGGCAGAGGTGCCCCCACGCCACCTGAAGCCAAGGGTGAGCCAGCGAGTGCCAGCCCCACTGCCGAGCAGTGCCAGCCCCAGCCCAGGGTGCCAAGACCACCCCAAAAAGCCCCTTGGGAGAGCATGGTGCTCCCAGGGGAGATGCAACTTCAAGTGGGGCTCAGCCCAGCTCTGGTGGGCAGCGGAGGAGGGTGAGGATGAGGATGATGAAGGAGGTGAGTGCTGGTGGGAGGGGGTGCCCCTAGGTTGCCCATCCAAATCCAGTGAGAGACGCCAGGGCAGCCTGGGGCACCTCAGAGGATGGTGATCCCAGGGGAGTCCGAGGAAGCTCCGCAGCTGCCTCGGGCAGCTGTGGGTGCTCCTGCACCCCCATCGCCGCCGCTCCACCTCCCACAGCTTTGCTCCCAAAAATGTGCCAAAAGGGGAGGTGGGTCCCCTGCCCCAGGCTGGCGTTCCTCCGTCTGGCAGCAGCAGGAGCAGTGACTCACCAGGTGCCAGGGCTGTAAAACCCAACAGACAAGAGTGTAAGAAGCCGGGCGGGGGGGGTGGGGGGGGACGGAAATTAGTCCCCTGGGTATTTGTGCAAGCCCTGGGTGAGGATGCTCCCCCCAGGATGCAGGAACCAGGCTCGTCTGCTCCCAGGCAGCCAAGTCCCAAAGTTGGATCCCAAAGTAGAGCCAAGGTCTGCACCCTTCCCCATTCCCAAATGAATTTAGTCCCTTCCTGGCTGCTTGTTTCCCCAAAATGTGGAGGATTTGCAATATTTTCAGAGCTTTCCCCCTGGGGCTAGGGCTGGCACCAGAGTCTGAAGGCATCCCAGTGACGCCAAGCTGCTTTTCCTGGGGAAAAAAGGGATGGCACAGCCCGCTCCAGCAGCCTGGCTCCAGCCTCCTGCCCGATAAGGCACAGGGGAAGGTAAACAGGAACACTTCTCCTTGAGGAGGTTAGATGGGCCCGCTCCCCCTTCTCCCACCCACAGTGCCCAGGGGCTGGGGCAAGCCAGGGGTAGTGGGAGGTGGGAGCCCACCCTGTGCTCCCAGGGGACCTCGGGGAGGATTTTGACCCCACTCCTGGCACGGTGGCGTGAGAAAGGGGCCTTTTCTGCCTCCACTTGCCAGCAACGGGCTCAGCTCCTCAGGGACCACCATGTCCCACTGGTCCCCGACAACAGGCTCAGTTTCCCTGGGACCACCATGTCCCACCGGTCCCTTACAACAGGCTCAGCTCCTCAGGGATCACCGTGCCCCGTGCGTGCTGTGTTCCTGCCGCCGAGAGGCAACCACCGAGCAACTGTTTTCCAAGCACCACCAGATACCAGAATAAGGTTTATTCATGCACCAGCGCTGGTGCGTACACAGGCACCGGCAGCCAGCATGACTTGTGCCGCAGGTCCCCAAATCTGGAAGGGGCACAGAAAGCAAATCCCGAGAGCAACCGGGAGGACAGAGCCGCTGCAGCCAGGATGCAGCTCCCCCACAGTGGAGCTCATGGGTGACAAGCTGGGTGCTTGGCACCTCACCAAACCCCAGGCTCTTGTTCAATAGCTGAAGTCAGCCGGCAGAGCAGTGAGACATGCACAGCTCATCGCCACGCAGCATGACTGTGAGCCGGGGGCACCCGGGGGCCCGGCAGGCTGGAAGGCGGGGGGGCACCCAGCCCTGGCAAGGACGGGCTTTTGTCCTGGCCACCAGCAGGAGAGACGGAAGCGCGGCAGCGCTGGCTGCCCTTTGTGCACGGAACAAAGAACGAGAGCCAGCGGCCTCCTCCTCTGCCCAGAACCAGGCCCTGGGAAGCAGCCGGGAAAGGAAACACCCCTCAGCAGAGCAGCACAGGAAGACGGAGACAGGCAGTGTGTTGTCCCGCGAGGCCACCTGGTGATGCCCAGTCCCCTGCCACCAGACCAGATACGGGTGGCACCAGCAAATGGCACCTCGCTGGCACACCCCACAAGCTGCATGCATGGGGACGATGGGAACCCCGCTGCCACCGCAGGTGGATTCGTGGCTGTGCCAGCATTGCTGCCATGTGATGCTGCTCCACGTCCCAGCAGGCAGAACAGGATGCCTGGCTCCGAAATCCCAGGCACCAGGAAAGGCAAAAGTGTGGATGCAGTTCTGGGTTAAGCCCGGTGTACGGGATGCAGTGGGGGCTCAGGGCTGAGTCGCTGCCTCCAACCAAGGGTTTTAGTCCCTGCAATTTGTCCTGGCTGTTTATTTCCTGCAGGCTGGACTGCTTAAACCCCGATAAAGCCTTTGGTCGCGTTGAAGAGCGCTGCTCAGTGCCTGCCTTCCTCAGCAAGGGCAGGAGGAAAGCCGAGTTACTGGTTCACTGGCTCACTCCCCCCTCCCCTCTGCCCCGGCGCATTTGCCGGATGCCAAGCCGAAGCCTCGTCACCTGTTTGCCCACTGACCCGGGGCTGCGGGTCGCCTCCATCCCCAGGCTGGCTTTGGGCCGAGCAGGAGCGCTTTGGCTGGGGTGCTACCGTGGTGCAAACCTGGGGCTGGGGGAGGCTTGGGGGGGGCACATCCTTACAGCCACACCCGCCAGCCCGCAGCCATGCTGGCACCAAATGGGCTGGGGGGATGGAGCTGGGGAAATCCCACTTCTGCCTATGCCATGGGAGGTGATCTGTCAGCAGCTCCCTGTGGGCGCTTGGGCGTCCCCCCCAGCTGCTGGGGACTCCTCCATGCCGCTCACCGGCACCGCTGAGGCCCACGGCTGCCAGCCGGCCCTGCTGCCTGCGCAGTCCAGAGCTGGGACCATCTCCGAAATCCTCGTGCCATCTAGTGGGACCTCCACTAACGACAAGGCAGAGCATGGCTGCCACCTCCGCGCTGGCTCTGCCCACCGGGGGGCTGGGGGTGATAAGGCGGGACCCTGGCCAGAGCCACACCGCTCCTCCGGCAGCAGTGGGGACCTGCGTCAGCAATTAAACAGTGCTTTTAATGAGAAGTGTCCGCATTCAGCAGAAGTCAGTGTTCAAGCCGCACCCCCCCAGCAGCAGGCAGCTCCCACCTCCTGGAAATCCAGCTCTGCAGCCCAAATGCTCCCCTTGAAGAAGCCCGAGGCGTCTGTGGAGCCAGTCGTCGAGCCCGGGGGCCGCTGCCACGCCGCGTTCTCAGGGAGCAGCCCCCTTGCCTTCCTCGCAGCCCCTCGCCTCGGCTTTGGGGCATGTTATCTGGAGGTGTTGCTGATGGAGCCCAGCTTGCTCCGACGGTGCACGCTGACATACCAGAGGCAGACGAAGAGACCTGTGGGTGGGTGGCAATGCGGTCACTGCTGTGGGTGCACCCAGCTCCTGCCAGGAGCAGGAAGGTGACAAGGACCCCGCTGCTCCCAACCCCACTGCTCATCCCCCAAACCCCCCTGGTGCTCCCCGCTGACCTTGCAGGGAGTTGAGGATGGTGAAGAGGTAGAGCTGGGGGATGAGGCAGACATTGAAGCTGAAGAAGGCCAGGCCCCAGGTGATGCCCAGCAGGCAGGTGAGCCCCAGCACCATAGCCCAGTCCTTCCTCGCCTGTTCCTTCTGCCGCCGTATCCTCCGCAGTATCATCACCACCCTCCCCAGCACCAGCAAGTTGAAGAGCAGGATGAGGGCAGCGTAGCCAAGGGTGGCGTAATGGGCCGGCAGGCTGGTGAGCCAGCACCTGGTGGAGGTGATGCTCTTGGGGACAAGGGCCAGCACCCCCAAGAAGGAGCTGGGCATGGCAGTGGGTGCCCCCACATGCAGCGAGATGGAGGCAGGCAGCCAGCAGAGCTGGGCTCACCAAAGAGGGGCACACAGCAGAGCTAGGCTGGCTCATGCTGGCCCCAGCCCTGGGTCAGCCCCATGTATGGGGTGCCCAGGGAGCCCAGGGTGCCCCGGGTGCATGTCGAGGGTGCCTGGTGTGCCCAAGGTGCATGGTGTGTTCCAGGTGCCCAGGGTGCCCGGCATGTCTGGGGTGCCTGGCGTGTATGCTGTGCCTGCAGTCCATGCTGTGCCTGGGGTGTGCAGGGTGCCAAGGGTGCCCAGGGTCTATGGGGTACCCGGGGTCTATGGGGTGCCCAGGGTCCGTGGGGTTCCCAGGGTGCACAGGGTGCCAGGGGTGCCTGGTGTGCACAGGGTGCCCAGGGAAGCTGGCAGCCCCCTTCACTCACATGGTCACATTCCTGTAGCTTTCAGAGGTGCTGATGGTGTGGTACCCGTACGTATCTCCCTTGAAGACAAAAACAGCCACGACGGCCAGCGTGGGCAGACCTGCGGGCCCGAGGACAGGCTGTCTGGGGCCCTGCCGGGGCAGCCATGCCACAGGCAAGCTGGCGAAGGCAAGGCCAGGTGGGCGCCCACTCACCCCAAGCGAAGAGGCAGAGCTTGAGGAGGTAGTGCTGGATGTAGATGTTGTAGACCTTGACGAGGAGGAGGAGGAGGTGGAAGGCCTCGGTGCCCATCCACGCCAGGCTGCAGAGAAGGCTGGCATGCAGCAGGGCAGCAGCGATCCGGCAGAGCCCCTCGGCACCGGCGATCCTAGTTGTGTTGTCCCTCAGCTGCTGCCTGCAAGAGCGGGGAAAGCAGGGGGTGCTGGTGGGTGCCCAACAGATGACACGGCACTGCGTGGCACGGTGTGGCACGGCATGGTGAAGCATGGCATGGCACGGCATGACATGGCATGGCACAGCCCAACGTGGCATGCATGGCACCACATGGCATGGCACGGCATGGCACAGCCCAACATGGCATGCATGGCACCACATGGCATGGCACAGCATGGCATGGCGCAGCACAATGTGGCATGGCACGGCATGGCATGGCACAGCCCAGCATGGCACGGCACAGCATGGCACGGCATGGCATGGCGCCACACAATGTGGCATGGCGCCACACAATGTGGCACAGCATGGCATGGCACAGCCCAGCATGGCACAGCAAGGCACGGCATGGCGCAGCACAATGTGGCATGCACGGCACAGCACGGCGTGGCACAGCACGGCACGGCATGGCATGGCACGGCACAGCACGGCTAAGAAGCAGC